GGGCCCGCAGCGCCCTGGGGCGCAGCACTCTGGAGGCACTTGTACACGGCCCCAGGCCCCCACGGGCAGCCCTGCCGGGCCAGCCGGCCCACCTCCAGCCGGGACAATGGGGTGCTTGTGGCTGGCCCAGCATGCTCCCACGCCTGGCGCCGCGGCTGCCCCTGCCCCTGCCCGGGAAGCTGCTCGGCGACTGGCTTGTCCCTTGCCAGTGACAGGGCTGCTCCTGGCCCTGTGCCTTCATGGCCTCCACCACTGGCAGCCCCACGCCATGGGCAGCCCCATGCTGCAGCCCCCTGCCCTGCTCCCATGCTGGAAGGTGGAGGAGCGGTGCAGACCCACCAGGTCAGGCCTGGCCCCAGGAGCAGGCACCGCTCCTGCAGACAACGAGGGTAATTAAAAAAAAAAAAATATCTCAGAATTTTTAAAATATTTTCCTTTCTCTTCTTTTTTTTTCCTCTCAAATGGCAGATTCCAGTTCAACAATTTATGCCCCACTGAAGAAGTTCAGTGTTCCCTTGTCAGGTGTTCATCCAGGTGGATGCTTCTTTCCCCTATTCTGATTTTCTTTTGCTTCTTCATTATTTTGACTGTTTCTTAATTTTTCCAGCTTTGGGACATTTTCAGGGTCAAGAGGGCATCCATTACAGGGAGTCAGCTTGCTGCTCTACACTTCCCTCACTATGAAAGAAACTTTGAAGGGTAACCAATGAGGGAAGGAGAAAGGTGTTTTGGTGGGGTGGGATGAGAATATGTGTGCTTTGTTGTGCAAACAGGAGCAAAGAGAAGGAGAGATGGGCACCCATAGCACCCACAGCACAGCAGGGGTGATGCTCACCTGCCTTTGGGTGGCCAGGGCTAAGGGGTGGAGGGGCAGCCACCATCCTGTGACCCACAGTGACCCATAGGGAGTGCTGGGGGAAGACAGGGCTCAGGGCAGTGTAAATTCTCTGCTTCTTTAAAGGCAAAGAGACAGAGAAGGTGGAAAAGACCAGCCTGATGCAGTGCAGTATTTCCAGCACTAAGTATCTTCTCTGGTGCTTTAAACAGTTTAATTCAGTATCTGTGACTATTTCCCTCTCCCCTGAGGTCTCTCTGGCTGCACAGGTCCCACAGGGGAGAAAGTCTCAGTTTTCAGCCAGCGTTTGCCTTTGGCTTAATTATTCCCAGATAGCCCCTCAGTGTAGCCATCACAGAAACCGGGCAGATGAAGACCTACCCCGCTGTAAAGGAAACCTCATTGCAGACTGGTCCTTGCTGCCTGCCCAGAGCTGGAGGAAGGCAGCTCCAAGGGGGACCAACAGGAAAATAAAGCATCAGCCATGCAGTTGGTCACACACTTCTGTTCCACTGGGGAGGGCTTTGATACCATTGGCAATAAAGTCCTTCATACCCATGGAAAATAACTGGCTTAATACTGATTGTATCAGGACTAAACAGCATGAAACATAAGCCAGAGAGGATGAATAACTGGTTTCTCTCTGGTCCACCCCTGACCTGTTTGTTGTCTTCTTTTTGCTCGGTTGCTGCAGCAAGTCATGGGCAGAGTGGAGGTGAAAACAGACAGGACAGAGGCAGAGGAGGACACAGATGAGGGGACAAGGGGATCCCCATCGCACCACGGATGCCAGCTGAGAGCAGTGGTGGCAAACTCAGCCTTTCATTTTTACCAGGCTGGTGGTTTTCCCTCTTCTCTTTTGACTCAGCAGGCAAAAGTGGGTTTGAAGGAGGTGCAATGGCAGAGCAGCCTGTGCTGATGCAGGCCGCAGGGACCAGGCCCCCATTTCCCATAGGGATGGTTGAACCTATCCCTGACTGCTCCAAGCTCCTCAGCTTCAATACAGAGGTTTTTATTGCTCCCCCATGGCTCAGCTGGGGTCCGTTTGCAGTGCAGACCCAGCTATGAGGCAGCCGAGGTAAGGAAGCAGGTTTCCTAGCACTTGGAAACTTGGCTGCGTTGTACCAGAGGGCAGAAGGATGTGAGCCATGCAGCTGAGGGTGTCACACCAGACCATGAAGCCCAGCCCCACAACATTTTCCTTACACAGCCCCATCACCAAGGCGCAAAAATACGTGGGATTTACCTGTTTCAGGCTGCATCCGCACTTTGAGCCGTTGCTTGCCCATGCAAGCATAACTTTGGGCACAGGAGTAATCCCACTCACTGCATCTCCAGTTAGGGTACTCACATCAGGATCTGGTTTTTGTCTGAATGAAGGGACTCTTGACTTGTTCTCTGGCTGAAACAGAGCCAGAAAGCTCCTGCCAGTGTGCCTGGTTTTGGTGTGGAAAATAATGGTGGTATGATTGCAGTCTGATGGATCAAATGTCCCAGAAAGACCTGGGATATTTGCAGGATGTCCTGACCCATTCTTTCCTCAGCCAAAATCCATAGAGCTAAAAATTAACTTTCACTCCCAGAGAATTACCAGTGGAGCATCACTCACTCAAACCAGCCCAGTGCACTCTCCTCCTTTGTTTGGGAATGAAGAAGAAATCTTCCACTGACAGAATCACAGGAGAAGCTGAGTAACATGAGCCCATCCAGGATCTGTGGCGGATTTGGGCAGCCATCCCGAGGGCCCAAAGGAGCTATCAGGGACTATGGCACAGAGCTGGCACCCCAGGAACATGCTGGGGATGTGGGTCACCCTGATACTAGCAGGCCCAGGTGATGGCACGGGATGCACAGACATGTGCACGGGGGGTGGTGGCACCAGCTGACATCTCCTGGGATGTGCAGGAGTAGGGCATACAGGACCCTGCTGTGTCCAGAGTGCTCACAGGTAGCCCTGATGCACCTACTGCATCCAATGGGGAGGTGTTGGGATGGGAGAAGAGATGGGGAGAGGTTCCTGATGAAACCTCCTTCCACGGGTTCAGAGCTCCCCCAGAGCCTCCCTGTACACACTGAGCATTGCACTGGGCTGGCAGGGAGGGAGATGTGAATGTCTCTCTTAGTCCCAGCATCACTCCTTCACACAGCACTTTGGTAGCTGATCAGCCCCAGGGCAGTGTAAAACATGCAGATAGTCTATACACATGGGATTTTGTGCCAGATGCACATTATACAGCTTGGGTCCTTGGGTGGTGCAATGGGTGAAATTGCTGACAGGCTCAGTGTCCCTTCTCAGAGACACGCAGGGAAACGGGGTCAAGGGATGCTTCACAACTTTCGTTGGGATGGCAGTTAAGGGAAAGCTCATCCACACCATAGGACTCTGGAGTGCAGGGAACTGAACAAGTGCAGACTACCTCCCAGACTATCCTATCTCACCCTGCAGCAGAGGAGCAGAAGGTCAGGCATATCAGGAGAGGCTTATGTGCTAAGTCTGGCAGCACCACTTCATGGAGAGATGCAGAATTTTCTCAGCTTGACACAGGATTTGGACAAACCTCTTTAGTAAAGATCTTTAATTTGAATGTAGTGCATCTGGAATGGATGGATGGGTGAGAATGTCTCAGTCTCTGGGGCTCACTGAGCCCTTGGCCTCTCTGCACAGAGCTTCAGCAAGCTTACCATCCCAGCACCAAGTGTGGGTGCTGTGAAGAGCTCAGCTGAAGCAACAATCTGGGTTGAAATCCCATTTATTTCCCTCAAAATACCCCCTGGACTTAAACGGACTTTGTTAGATTTAACCTGGTGAATAGGAGTAAAAGGCTCTATATCCCTTTTGCAAGCCTGGTACCTTTCCTACTGAAGGTCATGTCAAGATGCCAGGCAACTCAAACTCAAGTGATTAACAAGGGACCTTTCATTTGAGTGATTCATCATTCTCAGCCATGGGGAAGAGCAGAAGTCCTTGGCTGGGTGAAGGGCTGTAAGCACATGGGAAGCCCCAAGTCTACAGTGCCACACAAACCGTGCCTAAGAAGCAAAGGGGCAGAAAAGTGAGTGGTGAGTATGAGACCCAGATCAGAAAAAAGTGATGATCATCCCTGCTTGCACAGGGCAGGACTGTCATCCCTACCAAGGCTTGTGGACTGCTGCCCATCCAGGAGAGGCTCTTCTGTATTCAATGGGCAGTGTGTCAGACCTCGGGCACCCCAAAGGCCAGGTTGTCACGAATCATCAGTGTCTTCCGAAGGTCTCGTTCCATGATCGGCCTCTGCGTTCGCCACTTATGGGCTTCCTGGAGTCCTGGCTCGAAGTAGTAAATGCAGGCTCCAAAGCCCACCAGGATGAGAATGGAGATCATCAGATACACTGGCACAAACCAGTCCAAGAAGTGGGGCATGGCTGCCAGAGAAAAGAGGAGAAAGCTTGTGCAGTGGGAGCACCCAAAAAAACACCTCCACCAAGCTTCATCATGAGACATCTGCCTCATCAGCAGTGCCCAGTCGCCCTGCATCCCTCCTCACAGCCCCACCACACTCCAGTTTGTGCTCGATTGCACACCAAGGCACCTCAGCCTTCAGGAGAGGGCAATCCCTTTGGCTGTCGTCACTGGGACACCCTGACTGAGTGGCAGTCCCCCAGCCCTGCTGTCAGTGATTAAAGGTAGGCAGTGGATAAATAGAGCTGCTTCTCATCTCCTGCTTGGGGGAAAATTTGCTGCCCCTTCCCCTGATACTCCACCCCTTTGAATTCCCAGTCTGAGCTGGTCTAACCCGGGGCTGAGCCCTCCTCTGCTGCACTCCTATTTAGTGTCCTGCTTTGATGTGGCTCAGGGACCTTGCTGTGCTTGGTTTAGCCCTGGTCTCTGAGCAGAGCCTGGATCCCCTTTTGGGCAGCGGGAGCCACTTACCGGGACCAGACGACCTGCCTCGATAGGAGCCCCTTGCCACACAGATGCGAGGTGGAGATGCTGAGTCTGGAGCAGTGCAGCCCTGGGGAACACAAAACAACATGTAGCACAATTGGTGTCAACCCAGTGCGCAGAATGAGTGAGCAGGAGGGACCAAAAATCTCCCTGCCCAGTCATCAGGGCTGATGGAGGGTCAGACAGAGAGGGTCCCAGCCCCACAACCTGCTGGTGCCCTGGCCCACTCCCTCCACACCACTATGGCCCTGCTGATGCCATGCTCAGGACATACACCCTGACTCAGGGCCATTTAAAAAGTTTGTGCCCATCCCTTATCCCTGTACTTTGGGAGGAAGGGAGCAACCCACATTGCAACCCCCATCCATGACAAACCTATCTGGCTCCCAGCTGCCTGCTCTTACTGAAACACCCACCAGGGTAGGGGGTTTGAGAAGCATCTCCCACAAAAAAACACAGCTATGGCCTCCTCCAGGCACCAGGGATGCTGGGTTTTGCATGGTGAGCATGATGCTTGTCACAGACTTTGGTGGGGACCCTCAGGCTTGGGAAAGCTCAACAGTGCCAGGCTCAGGCACAAAAAGCAATCATGAAGGGAAGCTTTCCAAAACCTTCACCCCTTGGTGGGTGTGATGAAATGTCCCTTGACTTCAGCAGGGATGGAGTTAGGGCAGAGCTGCGTCCACATTGAGCTCCTGCTTTTCCAGGCACCTGAAAGCTGCCACCTGTGACTGTCTTCCAAGTCACCTCTCTGCCAATAACCACATGTCCCCCCCCTCTCTTGTGCAGGGCATTAAAGGGGGGGCTGGGGAGAGCTCTGAGCTTCTCCATCCTCTTCCCTGCTCATGGTCCATAAGGCCACTGCCCTTTCTCACAATGGAGGCTGGGCTTTTTTGCCTTTTTTTTAATACCACAGCCATCAGTTGATTCCAATGTGCCCAGCAGCATTTCTCTGCTGGACACCTCTTGCAACAGAAGAGCCCATTCCTGCCTGCTCACCCCACAACTAGTAGCAGGAAGCATGAGGTTCATCTCTACCTCTGAATAACACCTTTTTTGTCATAGGGTTAGAACTGAAACGAGTTAACATAAGCAAGAAACTGCCAACATTGGAAAAAATGCCTGATTTCCTCCCACTTATTGGCATGGATGTTGATATTTATCTGTTTTCCTTGCATGACAGGGGAGACCTCAGTGGATTTTGCTTCCCCCTACCATGCCCTTTGGCTTTCAGCAGTCCCTGGTTTTGCTACCCACAGTGCTGCCCCTACCATTGTCAAGTCGGTGGCAGACTTTTTATATCTCCCTCTCAATGATTTGCACCTCTCATTTCATGGGCCCCCGTTTCACCTGATCGAGAGCAGTGGGACTGGGCAGCTCAGCGTTGGCCACCATTTGGCTGGGAGCAAAGGAGCAGTCTGGGTGCTGCTTCTGCCTCTTCATGGCTGCCTCTGCCTTCCTCAGGCAAGTAACTTGGAAGGAAATGCCCCACCCCAGCCTGCAATAACATGACGTGTTGTGGGGAGCAGGGATCCCACTGTGGGGCTTCCCTCGGTCAACTTGTCCTGAGGGACTGTGGAAAGAATTAGGCACGAACACCCTTTCCCAACAGGAATTGGGTCTGAAGTCTGGGTTTGGCCAGAGGCCCCTCAGCACAGCTTTGCTTTGTGCTCTGCAAAAGTAGCTCCTGCGCACCCCTGCACCCCTAGGGGGGTGGCCGAGGCTGCTGCAAACCCCTTCTCTGGAGGTGCCCCAGCAGCTGCCACCAGTCCCTGGCTGGTGACAGCAATGGGCACGTTAGGGAGCCTGGGAAGGTGGCTCCAGCTTGGACCCCTGGGGCAACGGGAAGAAAGCCAGCAACCTCATTTCCTTCCCTGATCATATACTTTCCAAACCTGGGAGTGAAGCTGCCATCCAAAAAGCACCACAATAAAAAGCAGCCCTACAGACTCCCCAATATACAGACTTCCCACTTTATCCTTCTTCTGTGACTAGCAGAGCCAGAATTTCCCAGCTCCTTGCCAGCAACCTATTCTTCAGTAGCAAGTATCCTACTTGCTATGCAGCCCTCACCTCATGCTGCATACCCCCACTGCTTGCCCATCCCTGCCCCCTCAACGAAGGGTCCTCACCATGGCCAAGCCAAGTCCCACCCCAGCCTCCATAGGGCTGGCCTGGTGAAGCACTTTCTCTCATCAAGTGGATGAGCAGATTTTATCTGCAAATGCTGAAAAGAAGGAGTTTCATTTAAAGATGTCAGCTTTGCAGAGCAGCTCTGCAGATATTAAATGTGTCTTAACCCTTGCTGGATTGGTTGATCTCAGCACCCCATTTTGCAGTGGGACATCCACATCCCCCGAGAGACATGTAAGAGTCTCTGGTCTTTCAGCTGAGACAGCATCTCATAGAGGTAAGCTGACTGACCCTTTATAAACCCATGCTACACTTGTCATTCCAGCCACTCTCCTTCAATGTTACCCCCAGATACGCCCGTGCTGCCTCCTGCTGTCCCCCGAGACGCCATGGGTACACTTGTGATGGGTGCCCTGGGGGCCATGCTGCAAGTGACAGGGCAGAAACTGCTTGGGGGGAGGCTGGGAGCAGGGAAAGGGGGTTTGCAGGAGACACAGACGTGCAGCAGTGACCGGGCAGGGGGTGAGTGTGGCAGGAGTGGGGCCCATGCAGAATGCCAGGACACAGGTGACTTTGGGCACAAAACCCTCCCATGTGCACGGTCGGGAGCACAAACCAGGTATTACCAGCCACAGGCTCACCCCGACCACAGAAGATCTCCCCAGGACTGGGCACGCCAGGGCAGCTTGCAGCTCAGGGCAATGAGCTGCTGATGGCTAGGGACCTGGACACGACCATGCCTCCATGCACTGCATCCCTGACAAGCACCTGCTACCTGCCCTGCAATATGCCACCTACCTTCTTCCACCAGTGCAGGGCGATGGAATGAAGCTGCTCCCTCCGGCATCTGCTGGGGCCTGGCCAGGATGAGTCAGGCTCCTTTCCCAGTCAAGCAGTGCCAGGGAGAAGGGACCCCTTTCCGAGAGAGCAGGGTGACAGTGAGAGGCGACAGGCACGGGGTGGGAGGGAGGGAGGGATGGCAGGAGCAGCCGCAGCTGGCAGGAGCATGTAGGGATGACACGCAGCCAGCAGCGCGACCTCATTTCCCACCAGGGCTCCCGGGGGCTTCCCCTATCGCCTCCCCAACAGCTTCAGCCCCTCTCCAGACTCCCCATGGCACCCCACTACTGGCCTTCCTCCCGAAGGAGGGACTGTCTGCATCCAATTGCATCCCCGCAGGAGCAGGGGGTGGGTGTATGTGTGTGTGCATTTTAGCAGCAGTCGTTATGGCAACGGGCCTCCTGAGCTCACCCGCACATGGTACCCGGGTGAGAGCCACGGAAGAGGCGGCCGAGGGACGCTCTCCCCCGCTCCTGCAGCATCTGCAGCCGTGGCTGCAGCAGTAGACGTCCTGCTCTCTGCTAGGCTGAGAAGGAAGGATGGGGCTGGGAAGGAGGAGAAATGCTGGGGGAGATGTGTGTGAGCTCAGGCTGATGGAGATTTATGGGATTTTAAGGCTTCACAGATTGACTGGTGTGCCCGCCCCAGGCTCTGGGGGCTGGTGGCTTGTTGGCAGTGGGATGGAAGCAGAAAGAGGGAGGGGTGGAAGGGGGAGGGAGGTTAGTACACCCTTTAGAGGTTTTATGCAAAAATAAAATAATCAACACTTTCATCAAAAGTATTTTACAGCAGAAAACAGAAAAACATTGCTGTCTGAAGTAATATTCTTGCTTTCAGTGAAAAACTGAATCCATACCTGGCTCTGTCATTGCTGCTGATGATGGAAGAGGTTTTGCTGAAACATTTTCAGCTTTTCAGCAGCACAGAAATAGGAATAACCAAACTGTTTTGGTTTTTAGATTGGGGTTATTTTGTACACAGGGAAATTTTCACTGTGATCCAGAAGTCATTTGATGCAAAAATATTTTAACAAAATCAATCAAACAACTGGCTCCAGCCATGAGAGCTACCTGCTCTCCTACCTTCACTTTCCAGCCCTGTCTGCTTAGTCTCTGACCACCTACATCCCTCCAGGTGTGCCACAGGGGGTGGTTGTAAAGGCTTGCAGGGCTAATAATATCCACCAAACTGCCTGAGCCCCAAATTTGTGCCCACTACATGCCTATGCCCCAGGAGCCACGAAGTGTGAGGTTTGGCTTCCCAGTAGATTGCGTTTCAGGCATAAATGGCTTCATTCCCTCCCCAAGTCAACCAGTGGATGGTGACAGAGCCCATGTGAGTTTGTTGGCTCCAAAGGTAATGCACCCAAGGGGTCTGTTGCCTGGTCTGTGCTGAGGTTTCAACCATCAGTGCAGAAACAGGGCTCTGATGGGAGCCATGGGAGCTGTCTGGCATGCTCCATGTTTTTTTCCTCATTCTTCTTTTGTCCTCCCAAGCACAAATTCTGCCTGATATAATTTTGTCATAGCTTAGAAGCATTCAGTATAGACTTGTGATCCCCTCATACCTAGCAGGATATCTGCACAGAGGATCGGATCCATTAGGATTAGCTAGCTCTTGCTTGGTTTGCTCCAGCAAGGTGGCCACTCCGGATGATTGCCATGTGCTTCTGGAGAGAAGCCTGCAATTGCACCTTAAATTTACATCACTGAAGTTCAGCCATGATGCTCACCTTGACCATCAGCATGGTAATCTGCTTCACTATTCCCACTGTGAAAGAAAATGAGATGGAGATCAGTGGTGGCTGGCACAAGGCAGGAGACCATTTCTCCAGGAGACTGGTTGCTGCCAGAGCCACAAGCCACCCCATTAGGGCCTGCTGGGCCATGCGTTCTTGGGGACATCATGCTGAAACATATAAGATCCCCCTCATCCCCAGACAAAAATTCCAGCTCTCTGTCATAGGTTGCTCCAGGGGGACACCAGAGCCAGTGTGTGTCTACCAGGCTGCAACTTCTTCCTGGGTTTAAGCTGATTTAAGCTCAGGCTTAATGCTAGCATGCTGCTCATGCAGCCATAACCTCAGAACAACAATAGTTTTATCTCACAGGGTCATTTTTTTTCCCTTGGCTCACTTCCCTGCCACACAAACACTGGGAGAGCACAAGGAGCAGGGATTACCTCTTTCTGCAGCCACCACTGCACCACTGAGTTTGTACAAGTCATGACATGGCAGCCTTGCTTGCTTCAAGCAAAACCCTCCCAGCTGAGTTTGAAGTACCCTTAGAGGCAGTAGGAAATGAGGACTGGGCTTCGTGCTGCCAGAGCTGGGACACACTCGCAGATCCCCTGCCCCGTGGTGGCCTCTGATGCTGTGGCAGCTGCTTGCTGCCTGTGACAAGGCTCTCAGGTGCAGCGGGCGGAGGAAGCAAGCAGCCGATTCAATGTGAATGATAGAGCAAGCTTCAAGTTTATTGAGAGAAATCACACCATATATAAGCAGTCTACAATACACTACTTGCAACTCTATTGGATACATTCAAGAAACTACATTATAATGTCTCAGCCATTGGGTACATTCAAAAGATCACATTATAATACCCCAGCCCCCTGTGGCATTTCTGGTATGCATAAACATTCGCTCCCCGGGCTGTTTCCCATCACCCCCAAGGTCATTCTGCGCCCCCAATTTATCTCTGTGTTCTCACAACAATCCTCGTTAGCACAACTGAGCCCTGGGTATTCATCCTTGTTTTCATAACTGTACCCTGGGTTCTTTCCTTTGTTTACCTCAGGTGGCTGGGACCGAGCTCTGCAGGGAGCTATGGCCGACCAGCTCCTGCAGGGAGCTATGGCCTTGTTCTGCTAGCCATTCTCCAATACTCAGGTGCTGTCACATCCTTTGCTTTCCAATAAAAGCTGCAGTGTTGAGATGGCTCCAGGCGTTGACATGCCACGTACAGCTCAAACCACATGGAAATGCTTCAGCTGCAGTTCAGCTTTCACTATGAATAAGGCTGCCATGTGCCACTCAGCATCTTCCAGACATAAGTGCATGCATATCATCCTGCCCAGTGACTGAGGGGATTCCAGCCCCTTCCACCTGGCTTGAAGGAAGCCCCTGAGCGGCTGTGCACACACAAGACCCCCAGAGCCATTCACACTAGGATACCTGCTCACTACTGAGCTTCCAACTCCCACTCTATCTCTGTGCAGTCACAAATTCGCCTGCACAATGAAGGCAAGTACAGGGTCAGGTTTGATGTGAGAGGGCCACCCAGCCAGAGAGAAATCATGAAACCCTTCTGAGACAAAGACCTGGCTGGAGAAAGATGAGATGGTTGAGCAACCTTAGGCACATGCTTTCTGCTTGTAACATGCCCATAAATCACAGCATGAATGACATAGTGAGCTCAGCTTAATCCCAAGCCTGATTGTTATTCCAGTTTTTCCTAACAGGTTTCCTTGCTGTTCTTTAGTGTCCTTTAGGCTTTTATCAGTATCTTCTGAGGTGATCAAACACAAGTCTCTGCCTGTCTTTAAGGCAATACCAATCCCCCAAATACTCCTCTCCCAAGGTAGGTAGAGGCATGGGAAAAGATGGACTTCATCAAACTAGCGTCCCCCAAGGTCCACAGTAGAGGACAAAACTCCAGCAAGAGTCACAGAAATATTTCCCTGCTCAGCTGCTGGAGGTGAGGCAGTTGCTGCAGGATGCACAAGGCACTCTGGATGCATGGCAGAACATCAGTCAGATACTCTAGTGGGAAAGAAGAATAACCTGTCTTTTGGGTGCTACTAAAGCTTCAAATAAGGAAACTCACTTGAGAAGCTTTGCTGAGTTGATCAAAAAGCTAAGAAAATGAGTATGGTGAGTTCAATTAAAGAGCAGAATGGAAGAGCTGACTTACTTTGGGTCTAGCTGGAGAGACTCTTTGCCAAAGGAAGCTGAAGTTGCCAGCAACATATGTGGAAATGTCATTAGTTTCCCTAATAATTTGCACTTGCTGCAAATGATATAATTTTTGTCTGTTAGTGAGAGAACAAGCGAATCAAATACACGTTTGTATTCTGTGTGCTTCCCAGTCAGCACTGCAAGAGGTCAGCCTGGAGCCAGCGACGCATGACCAGGATACATCTAACAAAACTCATGTTGAATGGAGCTGGGATGAAGCCACCACTGCCAGAAGGTCTGGCAGCAGATCTGAGACAAGTGAGACTTGGGGTCAGTGCTGCTCCCAAGACCATCTCCAAAGCCAGTCTCCATCATTCCTCTGGCTGCTCAGGGAGAACCAAGAGAGCAATCAGAGGGAAAATATCCCAAGATTAAGTCACCAACCCACTGGATGAAGCACATAACAAATTGGCCAAGGATATCTGAGGGCAATGTATGATATTTTTTGTAGCAGCAACTGCAGGAGCAATTGCACCATTCCCAGGGAGCACTGGTGATGGCCAGGCCAAGTCTCATTGGCACTAATTGCCTTCATTGGCAGGACCAGAGCATCTTCACATGGGGCTACATTACACTTTTACTCATTTTTTTGAATGGTTTATGCTACTAGAGAAATGTACAATGGCCCACAGAGTAAAATCAGGAGCTTTCCCCTTCCATATCATGCCCTGCTCTTGCCTCTTCTCCCTGCACTGATAGCCAGTGCACTGACACCCCTGTTTCAGCACTACTTCACTGCTCAGAAGCAGAGATCGACTCATTATTCCCGCTTTGCAAACTGGAAACTGGGCAGAGAGGTGAAACAGCCTGACATTGTCAAACAGTGATATGTAAAATACACCCCAGCCTCCAACACCAACTGTGTCTCATCCCTCTCCCTTCCTCTCCTTGCTGAGCTACAGATCTAGACAAGAGCTGCAGGCACATTGCCAGTCTGAGTCTCCACCTCCCTTATGCCATATTCGACCACAAAAAACAGTTTTTAAATGCTACCTTTTGACATTAGATCTGTTTTACACCCCTTGGCCCATGGGTAAATAGCCGAGGGTGCAGGACAATGACTCCTGTTCTCCCTCCTGTTCTCCATGCAGAACTTGCTCTGCAGGCTTTGCACCCCCCCACGGAGCATCCCTGTCTGCATTTCAAAGGGGACGGAAAGTAAAATGAATCTGCCTGGCTCAGCTTCCTGTGCCAGCTGTTGTGCAATGGCTTTGTATCCCAGGAGGAAATAGGCTGTACCAAAACCTGGACAGGGACCATCAGCACTACCAATGCCCCACTCTGAATCATCCAAGGGTCCTTCATTAGTAAGGGGCTAAGGGGGAGGTGTCCCCCCAGTGAAAAGGTGCAGTGAAGGTGGGGCATGCAGAAAAGGGAGTGGGGTGAATCTCTGTATCCCCACAGGAAGGTGGGAGTCAGACCTATGGAAGGAAGATCTGCCAAGGTATGGCCAAGAAACCTCCTGGGGACAAGTAAAAATAATTGTGGGATTGGTGGTAGCTCATCAGGACACACTGAGCCTCAACAGGTGCCAGTGTCACCAGAAGCCTGCAATGACACAGGGGACAGTGAGCACATTCCTGACTGGACACTGAAGCCACCCAGGTCCTTCTGCAGGGCTGGAGAGTAGGCAATGGGGAGTAGCAGGGGGATGAAAGAGAAGAAACACCTTTTAAGTGGGTATTTTAGTGTATTTCTATATCCTCAGCAGCCCAAAAGCAGCAGTGTCCAAATTGGTCTTTGTGCTCCCCAACCTAGAAGCTGCCTCTCATTATTTATCACACCAGCCTTTCTCACATCTTTAGGACACGTCTGCCCTGGATTCATCCTCCCTTCCCCCTGCTGAACACAATAACAACCAGAAATATCCCGTAATCTCTTCTGCTTCACCTGTAATTTGTCTCATGCTGGCAACGAGTGGAACCGTCTGCCTTTGTCAAGATCAAAAAAGCCATGGCAGCCATGTGATGTCAGCTTACATTAAACCATCCCTCTCTTCACCTCCCCTCTCCAGCTCACGGCAGAGGGGCAGACACGTCTTCATCGTCCTGTGGCCTTCTTCCTCCCCCTGGCATGTGTCCTGCCATTTGGAGGTGCCCTGGTTAAAGGGGCAGGGAGACCTAGCCCCAGCAGACAGCTGAAGGGGTGCTGGACCCCCCTCCACACCAAGCTGGAACCAGACCCTGTTACCGAAAACTCAGAATAAAGAAGTTACCAACACCAGTGTGATGTAGATAAGCAGACACTTCTTTATTAACGGCCAGGTGCGCAGGGGTGTCGTCTCACCAACAACGCACACCAAGCACCAAAATCATACATCTTATATAGAACTTATACATATTAAGTATCCATGCATAAACGTATAATTTCTTGGAAATCATCAACATACTCTCCTCCTATTTTCGATTATGCACAGTGAAAGCTAGAAATGTCTAGAAATGGGTCTGGGGTGTAATACAAGTAGGTGGTCTGTAAGTTGGTTGTCACGATCTCCCCCTGCAGGAATTACCTTCTGCTTAAGTTCACGGTTTCTTGGCAGGTACTCGCAAGCTGTTACAGTTGGTTTTCCTCAGTTCCCATTAATCCTAGACCTTGACAGCTATGTGCATTCTTCTAGTTCTATGTATGCATCATAAATCAGTTTATAAATCAACTTGTGTTTGTTATCTAGGTTCTAAACGTATCCTATCAGATGATTTTGACCAATCCCTTTGGCCTTGGTATGGAGCTATATGGGGATTTTAGAGTAGCATTCAGTTGCTGGTATAAAGTGCAATAAATGTGAACAAATAATTTCTACTAAAATATCTCTTAATTCTATACCCACATTAAAATCAAGCATAACTTAATTTCAGTTGACAGCAAAATCAGTAACAACCCAAGGACGAGGCAAAGAGCAACAGACACAGCAAGTGGACCATAGGCCACGGAGGAACATTGGACCTCTGAGCAATTTACATCACTGCACGCCATCCTCCCACTCTGACCTTGGGAGTGTGAAAAGCTCAGCCTACATCCATAACTGCAGTGCTTCTACATGGGCTCTAGTGCTGGGTTGTGCAGAGGCTGGTCATCCAGAGGGACAAGGAGTGCTGGGCTGGGCAGCGGCTGGTTATCCAGAGGGACAAGGGGGAAGGTGCCCAGAAAGGGGTAGAACGGAGGTCAGGGTGTGGGAGCCGCTGCAAAATCTTGCACAGAACAAATTCAGCATGCAAAGGCAGGTGCTGCTGCTGTACACTGTTTGGAAAATTCCTTTCCCTACTGCATCCAGCAGACTTTATAGTATGACAGTGTATTAACTTTTGTGTGAGGTGACATAGGCAGGACACAGGAACAACCACAAAACTACAAATGAAATGCAAAGAGTAAATTTATTCTCATTACCTTGTGACCCAGGGGATCTCCGCAGCAGCACCCGGGCAGAGGCATGCAAGCAGGGACACAGGCACTGTGGAGCTTAGCTTGGTCCTTGCTAGCCAGAAAGATAAGAGAGAAGAGATCTCAAACCTGCTGCTTTCACCTGTATATATGAGATTTTCGCAGGTGTAGTTTTCCACTGTACTTTGATCTTCCCCCGCAGAGCAGGAATCTCAAGGATATTTGATAAGGTGCCTCTGAGTCTATTACAGACCTATGTTATCTAAATACAGAGGTTCTACCTGTCACACAAAGCTAAACAACAATTAGTATGATATATGTTTTTCAACACCTCAGCTGGAAGTCACTTGAGCGTGTTTACAATCCTCCTCGCCAATCTTCCGTTGCATTCCTACAACTTTGTTGGAATATATTTGTTCACATTATACACCACGATGTAAGGAGGTAGTGGAATTTTACTGGAGCTTTTGGTACTGTTCAGGCGGAAGCAAACTAACAAGACACCGGCTCATCGCAAGGACCAAGGGCACGGCCTGGCCCTGGGAACAAGGAGTTTGCTTCTTGGGAGCTTTGGGCTTCCCACCCCAGGATAGTCCTGGACGGCCAAGGCGAGGCCAGCATCCTACCCCTCGCACACGTCTTTGACACCAACGAACCGTGTGGTGCCGCCCATGAACGCCTCCTGACCGGCACGTCGCGGCCGGGTCCGTGACGCCACACGACCAGATGCCGCGGGAATGCAGTTGCTCTGCAGAGATTCACTGCGATCAGCAATGGGTAGCGCGGGTGTTGGAGCTTTAGCCGAGTTTGACCGTGGTACTTGAGCGCCTGGAGGGCATCCGAGCCCCGCAAACACCGCCCCGGCGCCCAGGACACCCCCACGCGTGACCCAACACCC